CTTCCACTTGGAATCTCTTCTGCCCCCAGAGTATTTTAGAAGGCTGTATCAGTGGTAGTAACTTATTTTCACAGAAAAGGAATCTCAGTATTCCCATATATTGATGATTGGCTACTAAAGGCTTGCTCCTATGGAGAAATCTCAGTGGAAATGCAGAAGGCCAAAGAACTGTTTCTCATCTTGAGGAAGCAGTTAAAAATTCAGAAGTCCACCTTATCCCAAGCATAAAGATTGGTATTTATAGGAACCTGCCTTGAAGCAGTAGCCTCCAAAGCCTTCCTCCCAACACAGACGTTTACAACCCTTATTGAATTTAGTCATTTTAGTTCAAATTAGCCTTCAGGCATTGGTTTAAAACTATCTTTGGTTGTTGGGGCATATGATAGCTGGGACTTTTGTGATAAAATATGCAAGGTTGCACATGCACTGCAGAACTGTTTGTTCAGTAAGCAAACACAGCTTGAACTACTCTCAGTACCTATTACTGTAAAGAAGTCCCTCAACTGGTGGAAAGACCTTCACAGCCATTCCTAATGATGATGATAACAGTAGAGGTATCTCTGTTGGGATGGGATCTTGCCTTGCTACAGTGCTCAAGCCTCAGTTCTTGGCTCCCACAGAGTGCTGAGAACCAGGGGCACAAGCTCAGCACCAACCAGCAAAATACTAAAAGTAGGTTCTATGCATCACCTTGGTGGAACTCAGAGTGGTCAGAAATTACAGTCTTCATTTTATGTCACTGATCAGAGGAAAACATGTGAAGATCATGATAGACAATATGTCATGCATGTTTTATGTCAATTCTCAAGGAGGGGCAATATCCCCCTTCCTTTGAGCTGAAACAGTTAGACTCTGGAAGTGATCCGTAGAAAATCATGTCAATATCTAAGCAACTTAACTTCCAGGCATTCAGAATCTCACTGCTGATACCCTCGGTAAATATTGCTGTCAGGATCATGAATGGAAGATAGATCATCTTATACTCCATTGCATATTTCAATATTGAGGCATCCTGCAGGCAGACCTGTTCACCACAGCCAGAGACAAGCAGTATTCCCAGTTCTGCTTGATAGGCAGTCTGGGCCACCTCTCTTGGAGGAGAGTCTTTTTCCTTTCTTGGACATTGAGTCTGTTATATGAATTTCTTCATACTCCTGTAACATCCAAGGTGTGATCAAGATAAAAAGATACTAGGCCAGAGATATCCTAGTGGCTCTGACTTGGTCAAGGAATACATGATTTTTTAATCTTATCCATTTGCCTGCTTGTCAACCAATTACTCTCGAGGCCATCCCTCCACTTGTCTCTCAGGATCCTGGTCAATTTTTTTATTCCATTCTCAGGATTGTTGGCCTTGAAGCATGTCTGATTGATGTTTATAGAATTAGAAACAACCTGTTCTGAGGAAATAAGAAGAGTATTGTTACATAATAGGAAGAAGTCTATCCACAATACTTACTTACAAGAGATTTAGTTACTCATTTGACCTAAGACACCTTTCATCTGCATGCATGTCACTATCCGAGATCCTAAATTACACCCTAGATCTGAAAAAGTCAAAGTTGTCTTTGAATTCCATTAGGGTCCTTTTGTGCTATTACTGCTTCCTAGTAAAGGTTTCTTCAGTGTTAACTCATCATCTGGAAGGCTGTAATGGCTGCCAAAAGGACCCTAATGAAGCTGGGGAATATTTTTCTAAGTCATTTTTCAAGAGGCTGGGGAATATTTTTCTGAGTCACGCATCTTGCCCTGGTTTGGGACCTCAACTTGGTGCTTAGAACCATCTAGTAGAAAATGAACTGAAAGGAATCACCAAAGCAGCTCTAAATAGTCACTCTGCAGAGTGCAAGGCAGAGTAGGATGCATGTGTGGGACAAACAGGCATTGCTCCCTAAATAGCCAATTGAAGGCCCATGCACCTGAATTAGAACATCCATATGGACACACATCTCAAAAAAATTAGTTACTAAAGTGGGGAGTAACCTGTTCTTTTAGGTTTGTTTAGAATGTAATGAACACACTGAGAGGGATACTAGTTTAGATGCTGAGAAACAATGGTGATGAGCACAGAATAAAAACCTAGATAGTTAGGAATTGACAGCAATGGGGGCTCTTGAAGTCATCTATCCTTCGCCAAAATACACCACCCACAACAGTGCAAACTTCCACCACACTGCCCAACTAATTTTCCTCAACCCTGACCTATAAGAACCATCTCAAGGGATTAGAGGCTAGATTGTTCTTCATTACCATTCATTTCTGCTCAACTTGAGGACAAGGATAGAGATAGAGCCAGTTGTGGTTTTATAAAGTAGATGTATGTTCACAGGAGGCTGAACTGAGACAACAAAAACATATAGTATCATTTTTATGCTTGGTATTTCAAAGCAAAATTATATAAAGGTTGTAAACTCACTGAATATTTTTGTCCTAAAATATTTATTTAAAAGATGACATAAAATTTGTAACAGAAATATACACACATGTCATACTGTTAGAGATTAGTCATCTAGACTTCATAATCCAGCAGGAAAACAAATGGCCCAGGCTCTGAGACAGCTCTCGGGTTATTACTGATCATAACAACATTAACATTTCTAGAGGCATCTCTTTGCTTCTTCATATTTCAAAGACTCTGCTCATTTTCTTTTTACATGTTTAAATATTTATTTTGACCTTTTGCCTCCTTGTATAGCCTCCTGGCTTGGTGGCCCATCCAAACCAAAATACACCAGTGTGATGGCCTTACTGATCATATAAACATGTTGAATAAACAGCTCACACAGAATGAGAGACTGAGTCCTTAGCAATATTTTGGTGACTTATTTTTAAACTGACTTTTTAAATTGTCCAAATAGGTAGAAGCCAGTTTGTGATGTACCAACTGGTTTCAAGATCTCTCACTTTAAATCACTGCCTGCATCTAAATTTATGGTGATCATTCTCATAAAAACAAAAATGCATTCTCTTCTATTTGTAGGTGCTTCTGTTGGTGCATCACCTGGTCTTCTTGGCTTATTGCTCTCGGCCATTGCTGTCCTTGTCTACTCGGAATTCTGAATGTCTCCAGATTTATCTTGTCCTCACTCAGTGAAAGGACGCCCTTCAAACCTAGACTACAATTCTTTTTGACTCCTGTGGCACCATCTTAAGCCAAATAAATTACACTTTAAAGAATAACCCTACTGATTTACTATGAACTTTAAGAGGACTGAGGCATCCAGGAACTCCTCCATCAAGTGAATCAACTTTTGAAAGAATAATAAAAGATTTTTAACTTGTTCCGATATGCCTTATAAAACACTTATGCTGATTTGTGACAGTTGCATGATTTGGTCCAATGGGGCAAGTTACAGTGTTAAAATCCAATAACATAGGCTGTACAGTGAAAGTAAAATCACCATACATAGGTGCTTTAACTTTAATAACAAATTGTGAAAAATAATAGAGATTGAAATGTTGATTGTGTGTGGTAAATGTGAGAGTAATTACGTCTGTCTGTACTATCCTGTATGTTTTGTGTGCTGCATATTTTTGAATGGCCCTATCATTTTTTAAATTTCAGGTTTTTAGAGATACAGTCAAAGCAAAAACATGTAATTAATTTTTAGAGCTTTTTGTCCTGATGCAATTGAATACTCTTTGAGGCATTTGAAACTCAGTTCAATTAAAGAAAAAATATTTTAGATGCATTTGGGAAGTTTAATTTTGAATATTAAGAACAAAATTGAATTATAAAGATTTTCCAGTCTCCTCCTTCATATAACCCAACATTTCAAGAAATGCTCCTCAAGCAATTTCTGATTTAGTAATAGATTATTTAAGTTTTATCATGCAAAGAACTTCAGTGAAAGCATATGTAGCTTGACACCATTTCTTTTATTACTCTGTTCAGGAATTATTGTTTAAATAATTTAGTCATTACTGATTTTAAGTGTGAAAATCTGGCTTTCACACCAGCATGATTTCCCCTTATGCCTCAAGATAGTGGAATAGCATGTTAAAAGTTTAAAAATCAGCCAGTGGAACATCAGATGATAGAATGTTTTAGTTGTGTTTCAAAACTTGTAACTAGTGTTTCAAAACTTCTATTGGCTCCCCCCCGCCTTGCTGCCTCTGTATCAGAGGCAGCAAGGGCCGGAAGCAGGAGCCAGCGCTGGGGGATCCAACTTAAAAGCCAGTTCCCCCTTGTACTGTCTCTGCAGTACCACTTACCCCCTCCCTCCTGGCACTGCTGCCTCTAACAAACTCTCCTGTGGGACACCCCCATGGACAGGGGCTGCTGGACCCAGTGCAAGCTGGGACTGAGCAAGCTCTTGCCGGGTCCACTGCTACCCCCACTGCAGCTCTGCAGTTTAAATGTAGTAGGAGCTGGGCTGCTTGCATGCTAGGCTCGTACTACATTTAAGCTGCAGAGCCACAGCATGGTTAGCTCCTTCTGAGCACTTTCCCTTATTGACTGATCGTGTGGTCGATACAAATTGTATCATTTCGCCATAATAAAATGGCAAAAAGAAAGTAGCACAGTAACAAAAAGTATTTTGATTACTTTTTTATGCTACAGATTCAAGTTTTTACCTTTCTTCAGTGAAGGCCTGCAGTTGGAAGAATATGCTTTTTAATAATTCAATATTATTCTATTATTCCTGTAAATAAGAGTTTAAAAGTTCTTAGACTATTTTCCCTGTCTGACATAATAATGAATGATATAAAGATGTTAAATGGAAGGCAGATCCCAGCTGGTCTGATTCTAAATGTTAACTATGGCTTTTACAAAAATGAAAGTCTAGTAGGAGACTGAGAATCTTTTTGTTCTGACTGTGTCTACACCATTTCAGTGGATTTTTTAAGTTGTTAAAGACGTGCATATTTCTTTTTCCATGGTGTGCTGGGAACGTAGTCTGAGTGTGAATGTTGAAGAAACAAGGTGATATTGAATCAGCTGGCTCAAGTAATAGTGCAATGTCTGATGCTTCAAGAATTATAAGCTTTGAATCATATTTTATTAGCACAACCTTGCTAGATATTTAGAGATAGAGTTTATCTTTATAGAACTGATACTGTAGAGGTCCATAATAATACTATGAAGAAAGAATAGGCCTATTAATACTTTACACCCCTTTCTTTAATTTGTATAATTTTTGTACTATATATTTACTGTAAAAGTTTCATGTCTTCATTAAGAAATATCAATAATACTGTTTTAGTTTAATTTTATTTCTTTATTCCAAGATGAAAAACTTTTTTTAAATAGGTGAAAGTGATAACTTCCCTATAGAGGAATGTCAAAAGTTATAAGAGCACCACTGAATCTCATAAACTATATAGTTATTTGAAAGAAAAATGAGTTGTCTTCATGTGTAAGAGAAACTAATATTCTGTAAGCCTTCTGTACAAAAGATTGTTTTATTTTCTTTTGGGTTTTATGCAGTTTGACTCATTTTTATATAATCTACAGCCACAACTAAATCTTTTGCCAAATGCATGATTGCCTTTTACTTTTCTAATATGTGATATGAGGAACAAAACTGTTCAATTTTTGAATGAAAATTATCTGGAATGTAAAACCACTTTTTTTTAATCTGTAACACAGATGAGCTAGATTATAACCTCTCACATGCTGACCTGGTAATTCCAGATTTTTGTGCTTTACACAATTGTGGAAATTTGACTGGGACCTTCAGTTTCAAACTGTTGTCAGCAAAACTAACTAATGTATCATCTGCTTTAAAATGCAAGGTTCATAATTAAAGTTTAGATAGACACATTTGTTGTTTCTTTGTACTTCAGGAGACTTGTTTATTAATATTACTTAATACTGATGAATTTGAATTTTTTTAGTTACTTTTTATCTTTTTTTTAATTTGGTAGAGCAGGACCCTGCGTTGTCCTTTTTATGAATGAAAAATAAATTATAATTAAATAAATGTATTAATGTTACTCAAGATGTAACAACTGTCTTGAATTTTAACAGGAGATTTTAAAAACCAGTGGCTCTTTATTGGTTTGCTAAAGGAAAAAATGGTGTGAAGCTTTAATAACAGAAGGGTTCTATTTTGAAAGATTTTTTGAAGCAGCACTGGTGTCAAGGATTAAGCAAGAAGAACAGCTGTGTTCAGTAATGATTCCTATTCCAACAGATTTATTACCAAGAGATCCATTCTCTAAAGCTGATCAAAAAGGGCCAAGTATGGCACTGATTTCCATCTTGTTGAATCCCACTGATTTCAAGAGGCTGAATCAGATACAAGGGCTCCATCTGGTGAAATGCATCTCAAAGGTTTGGAACTAATACCATACTAAATGTGGCCATTTGGAGAAGTATCACCTTGTCAGTGAAATTGCTGATCATTTTGCAAATTTTGGTTACATTTTCTTCTCTTGAAACTTCTGGGAGTTCTGCATTTCCAGGAAAGCTGGAATCTGTCAAAGAAGATTGTTCTTAACACTTGCACAGTAAGTAGACATCTCCAATGATCCATGATGAACTAGGAACCAATCACTAATTCAGTATTTATTTCTTTGTGAAATAATGAGCAAAGGAGTAGCTATATTGTTGACCTGATGGTATATATTAAGACAAGTTCAGAGCTGTGGTCAGAGATAAAGGGAACATGAAGTTTCTATTGCTCTTGTTTGGTAAGTTATGTCATTTTTTGCCCCATTTTTCTTGGTTCTCCAAACTTCTGGGCTTGTGGCAATGGATGAGAAAAATTTTCATATCCTTACACAGTTGAGAGTCTGTGGCTCAAAATTTGATGTTTCTGGTTTGATTGTGTCATGTCTTATTTCCTATAGGAACTATCATTAACATAACGACACCAGGCATTACACTGAAGTTCAGTTCATTTCAATGACAATTTTGAAAATTCCAAGTATTTTTTTTTAATTCTGTTTTGTAATTTCTGTTTCAACTTAACTGTAAAAAAAACTCTGATTAAAGAGATTTTTCTGTAACTGTGTAGGAAGGAGTAAAAAATACACAAATGTTGAAAATTGAAGTATCCTGTAATTTCACCTTTCATATGGGCCTTTCAGTGGAACTATACTGTCTGTGCTAGACTATCAGAACCACAACAGAATCTTCCATTTTATTCAGACAGTAGCAATAACTAACACAAACGGACTGGTCACTTCTCTCAAAAGATGCTTGAGTCCTCTTTTTTTGTTTTCCTGCTTCTCATTTTTCAAGAATACTTAGGAAAAAGGAAAATCACAAAAAGGGCCAGACTTACACAGGCAAGGTGTGACAATCTAATAATACTTTCCATATTTCAATTAGAAACCATACCATTTTTTCTCTTCAGTGTTTTTTCCCCCTACATCCAATCTAATCAAGCTTGGCCTGAAGGATGGCTTGAAAATTCCTTTGAAAACTTCTCCCCTATTTCAAGTGGCAATGAGTCTGGTCTACTGTTTTTTTTTTGGGGGGGGGGGAATGGGGGAGATATAGTGTGACTGACAAACCCTACAAATTATGCCAATCCTTTCTCTCAGAGACCACCTAGAGGCACTCTTATTTAGCAGCTCCTTCTTAGTGGTTGTTTTCAAGCTTCATTGTACTGAGGGAAAATAGACACTTGTCTTCTCTGCTGCTTGGTCTGCAATGCTGCTACCACATCATTTGACCAGTTTTCAGAAGATTCAGATAGCGTTTAAGACCCAATCATAATATTCATTTTCACTGCTTTTAAAATATATTACATTATAGAGCTGGGCCAAAAACTGGAACCACGGATTCCAAGCCTTCACAACTTAGAGGTTCTAGTATAATAGTACCCAAGATCAAACCAAACCCAACATTGATTTTGTCCCATTACACTTTGTAAAATACATCTTTTATAATATATGTGTATTGAATTCTACAGCTACAGGGATCATGCCAGGGCTTGTTTTGTCATAGGATGTTTTTTCTAACTTTTGTTCCTAGAAATCCTGTTAGAAGGTTAAAACTCATATTGGTCGCTTTACAAAAACCTTTCTCCTTCCACTTCCTATGCCCATTGGTTTGCTGTTGAATGTTGGCCAAGAACAGTGAGCATGGCTTAAAAGTACCTCATCAGGCATCCCTGTAGGTTATCCTGGAGGTAGCTTAGAAAAGAATTAGTCCAACATCACCACAGCTAGCTTACGGCTCAGCCATGAAGCACCCATGATAGCTGAAAACAATGTCCTATCTACAGAAAAATTGGAGTTAACAGAGCTTCCTGTCAATCCTCCACCTACCTCCCCATCTTTCACATAATATTTGGAGGTGGGGGCTCTACTTGAGCCTTTCAATCCCCTCTTTATCACCATGCCCCAAGATATAGCTATTGCAGAGTTATCGGAGAGCTAGTGTAGCTTCCACAGGCCTGATATGGGGGTGACCATAGCCACAGAAGCCCAGTGAGCTTATTTGCATATACTCCTTACCCACTTTTAAGACTCCACCAAGGAGAGGCTGAGAAGATACTCCTTTTCCCAACATGGTGGCCTAGCTTTGACCACGTCATTCGCACTGGTGCAGAGCTCTCCTCTGCTTTGCCTACACCTGCCAGGGGCTCTGTGCCTTAAAGGGTTGTTAGAGAGGTTCTATTCTATTTCATCTTTATGTACAAATATATTGCATGTGGACTTCCTGTTCTTGTCTCCCTTTAAGTTCTCATAGGAAGTCTGGCACAAAGGGCCAACTCCTAGGTGTTAATTCCTAGGATTATCTTCTTATAGCCCATCACCACTAGCGATTGAATTCCCATAGTTGTACTGAGCATACAGAGCTACCACAGAAAGGAGTGAAGAAAATTGCATCCCAGATTTTGAGATATTGATTCTCTTTTCATGCAAAGATTCACAAATGAAGAGCATTTTGTTTCAACCTTATTATGATCATTCTATACCCATATGTGTTTGCAGTCAAGATCTTTGATGGCAGGGTGTGTGTTTTGCTGAATAGAAGCCCAAGTTTTAATCACTGCTCGATGATGCTTACTACTGAAATTCTCTAACAAATAGTATTTGCTCTTATAGGAAGACTTTAAATCCTCTCTCTGAGGGTGGCTAATCAACATCCCCATCATAAAGAGCCCAGTGTCCTAATACTATT